GAATATTTTTAGTACTATTTAAATCAATTCTCATTAATATCCTTTCTTCTTTCAAAGCTCCACATAGTATTGTCTAGACCAAATGAAGGCGTTTGTTATATTCTGAGTCTTTTCAGTCTGATGGAAACTTAAGTATCTACCGAACAAGTAACTTTTAAAAAGTCCCACATCCATCGAGAACATTATAGACAATTACTTTTTCTATCTAAGCACTTTGTCAATTTATTCCATTTTCTCACTTTGACATTGCAGGTAAACTTGCTGTTAACTAAGTGGATGAAAGATTTGGAGAGGATATTTTATGGAAACATTGTTGCTTATGATGCCTCTATGCTTCCTGAAGGAAAGCAGGATCAGTTACAAAGTGTTATTTGGAGGTAAGGCATTTGGCAGAATTTTGATTCTTGTATCGGTTTGGCACGGTTCATTGATGAGTAATATATAAGCTGCCAACAAAGCTCTGTTGGAAGTGCAGGAAAAACTGATAAACAGCAAAGAGAATTGCAGCCAAGTCACCACTATTTGCCTAATATAGCACTTGGATCCTAACTTTAATTATGTTGGCATTGGGGTCCCCACTCTGACTGTTCTGTAGTAATTTCATTTTTTCTGTTGTTCTCTGTCAGAACCATTTAACCTTCATGTTACTTGTACATGAGGCAGTTTGCTGGGGTAATTCGTAGGAAAAAGATTTGCATAAAAGGAATCTCTTTATACTTGTTACCAAATTTGAAGAAATTTAAGTAAAATTTGTCTCAAATTCATTAGCAAATTTTCATTTTTGGACAACACTTCGGAGCTAAAGATTCTAATGCACATTATATGTCTCTAGATGTCTTTTGGTATATATTTTACGCCTTCAACAGGGCAAGAAATTAAGTCTCCTCATCAACAACCTCCAAGATTGAATCATCAACTGTTGAAATTATTATTAGGTTTTTTAAATAGCTCACTGGTTAGTTCTCTTGGGCCATATTCTAGCAAAATCTTTTGATGATTTATTTCAATTTAATTACTGGATTGCCAGAACCAGGTGAAAGTTCTGATTTTGACCAGTACTAAAGGTGTTCTTTAAATAGTTTTCCGGTACTGCCTCTGATAATGGCAAGGAGGGCAGTTCCTTTTAGTATTTGGAGAAAAGGGTCTTTTGGGATTTCTCTAGAAAGAGAAAAGAAGATGACGATGAAGAAAAAGAGTTTGAAGAAAGTAAAATCTTAACAGCGATTAGGAACTTCAGTTTCCACTCTATCTATTCTGTTAGTTCCAGCAACGCTTCCTATTAGTAGGATAAGAACTACTAACTAACTACCTAGCTACCTGTCTTGATCAATTTAATATATTCTTACCTTCCCTTGCTTAGAAACGCAAATACTAGAAGAATATTGTTCCGCATTTACTTCTATTACTTCTGTGAATCAGACGTCCATTCTGATCTTGCAGAGGGCAGATGTTCCCATAAGTCTCTTTTCCCTTTTCTTTTCTGCTTCATTTTACTCTTTCTTGCCATTCTGTGATATTGAGGTGGGTGGACTGGAGGAGGAGAGAGGTGGATTGGAGGTTGTTGAGCTTGAGAGTCTCAGTGGCAGTAGTAGGTTATCCCTTTTTTACAACTTTTCCTTTATTTCCTTTTCTTTTGTTTATTGAAAGTGAGGGTAGAATTGTCTATTCAACAAATACCCATCACTTGTGAATCACATGGCAGTTCATGGTTCTAGTGAATGGAAAATGTTGGGAAGGATACATGAGCAACAGTCTACAGTACAGATCCGTTATAATAGGGACCTAAAAGCTAAGGAAAAAAGAGTTGGGATCCAAGTGCTAGCCTCGGTTTAAGAACATCTAAAGATATTGGATGTTGTGCTCGTTGATATTATTAATGTTATTGATGTTTACATGAGTTGTAGGAATGTTTTCTCTGATGATGGTTCATCAAAACCAAGTGATGCAGCTTTACCCCTTGTCCAGGCAAGCTCTCATCTCCAGTCTGTTAAATAGATTGTTAGCTACAAATAAATTATTTCTTAAGGTTGTTGCTTCTACTCGGGTCAATCGGCCATTCTGGCAGGAATCGCTACAACCGAAGTTCTTTAATTCAATAACCTAATGGAGGGGGGGTGGTCGCCGGTGGGTCATTCGCTAGATATCTTACTCTCCTTTTATAGCGTGCCTGCATAAAATGCTATGCGTATCAAAAACTTGGTTACAGCTAGACATGTTAACAACTACTAGTAGTAATCTCTACCTGTGTAAATCATTTGGTTATTTTAGGTGTGGTTGACCATAAAGTTTCCTTTTATTCTGGGATACATTTGGACCCTGTTTGGCCCCATTTTTATAAAGCTCATTTAACCACACATTTCATTGGATCCACAATTTTATCAATTTTTCATTTACACATTTCATCAACTTCTATAAAAATCTATTAAAAATCAAATTTTTATCTAAACCAAATGGGGGCTTAGTCTTTAACCAGGGAAAACTATTTGTCTTTTGGATCTTTACAAGTACGAATTGTCAAATTCCCTTATAAATTTATACAGATAACTTGCTACTTTCGTTGCAGTTTTCTGGAGTATTGGAGTTTTTAGTTCCTTGTATGGAAGGCATAGGTCATTAGTTTAACCTATTTAAATTAATGGTGCACCAAACCTGCTTATTTGTTTCTTTTGACATTTATATAGGCCATGTCAAGATATGTACGCCGGGAAACTAGTTGTTTTTCATTAACAGGTATGCATATACTTTTTAAGCATTCGTTCCTTAGTAACATTGTGTTTGAAGCTTTTCCCCACCCCGAAAACAACTCAAAATAAAATAAAATAAAATAAACTATATGTTAGTTCTACTAGTCTCAAATTTTATACTGCTTTGAAATCACTGCTACCAAAAAGGTACTAAATGCTTTCGTTGCTCCCCACTGTGGAAAATGGAAAAATGAATCTCTTCCCTCTGTGAAATAGAGAGGAAGGCCGCCCTTGACTTTTCTGATCTAATATCCAATGTCCTGAATGAATGGATTTTCTCTTTATACCAATATGTTACTGCTGCTATGCTGTTTTACGGTTGGATACTCGAAAAAATTTTCGAATCTTGACATTGCCCAACTGATTCTATACTGTTTCTGTAAATTTCATTTGACAAGTTATGGTTTTGGTGGGCAGACAAAGAAGCCATATTTACGGGTAACTTTATGTTCACACGATTGGAGAATACGGGAGCTGATTCAGTGAAAAGGTAGTATAAAAGAGGAGCAATGGATAGGTGATCTTTATGCATCTATACCAGATGTTCATTTGCTGAAGTAGAAAGTGAAGTTTTACATTGCAGAAATACGCAAGGTGACTGGTAATTTGTTGATTAGGGAGTGTGTTTCCACCTATTTTATGTCCCTAGAATTATGATCGAGGGTGCATGTCCATAAATAATTAATTTTCTGATAATTTCTTGGTCTCACTTTCAATTAAATTATAATGTAATAAGCCAGCTTTGAGCTTTGAATGTAATGATCCGATACAAACTGCTAGAAATTTGTATTTTCTTTTCGGTTATTAGTATTCGTGTTATTGTCCATGTTTGATAGAAATTAACATATAGATTTTGATTAAAGTCAAAGTCAACAATTAATTTTAATCATATATTTTATCCATAATTTTCATCAACACTTCATCAACTTTTATCAAAATTTGTTAAAAAATTAATTTTAATTTCCATCAAACATGGGCATTATAACTTTAACGGGCCAAAGCTATTTTTTTTTTTAAAGATTATTTAGAGAAAATGGATGATATTTTATTTTGAGAAATACAGAGAAAAATCAACATGTGATGCTGTCACCTAACCAACCTAATGGCCTCTTGGCAGAAACAGATTTTATCAGAGGTCATCCAACTATAAGTGAAGTTTCAATTGCGTAACCTAACTATAGAATTCCTCAATCAAATCACCAGACATCATAACTATTTCAGTTGAGGTCACCATGTCCCATGCCATTACTAAAACTAATATGAATTACTTGTGTAGATGCTTAAACCTGATCGAATGTTGACATGAAGTGGCTTGTATTGAGCACGCTTTGTTTCAATCTAAAAGTGAAAAAACACGAATTTTTAAACGATTCCTTGAAAATATATAGGGGGTGTTTGGTAGAGATTAAAATTAGATTTTTAGTAAATTGTGATAAAAAATTTTGAAATGTGTGGTTGAAAAGTCGTGGGACCCATGAAAAATGTGGTTAATATTGATTGTTTGACTTTGATTTAGATTAAAATCTGATTTTAATCATAAACAAACGGGGCCATAATAAGTAATATTTATCCACTTTTAGATTGAAAATATGTGCCCAATGCCAGTTCCCTCATCCAAGTCGACAATCAATAACGTTTTAACATTCATTTCAATTTAACTTTCTAATGGTTCGAGAAAGAACTTGTCAAATTTTATGACTTAAAACGAACAATTTTCGCCTACATAATATGTTTTTGAGTTTGGAGTTACGATTCTCTTACTTCTCAACAATTTCAACACTAGAATTTCGGCACCTCATTACAATTTTGAGGTGTCAAAATAGATCTATTTATCATCACGATGATGAAATATTGACGATACGACAACTCATTATTTCTCTCATATCTCTTATAAAAATTGAATTGTTCAATCATATTATTTCACGTGAACGTCACATCACTCATATTCATCATCATAATAATAAATAGGCCTTGTATGGGANTGATTTTTGAATAATAAAATTTGGTCCCTGAATTTTGAATTCCAATCTTTAAACACCTGATTTATTATAATTTCTCAAAAATCAACATGTGATGCTGTCACCTAACCAACCTAATGGCCTCTTGGCAGAAACAGATTTTATCAGAGGCCATCCAACTATAAGTGAAGTTTCAATTGCGTAACCTGACTATAGAATTCCTCAATCGAATCACCAAACATCATAACTAATTCAATTGAGGTCACCATGTCACATGCCATTACTAAAACTAAAATGAATTACTGTGTAGATGCTTAAACCTGATCGAATGTTTGACATGAAGTGGCTTGTATCGAGCACGCTTTGTTTCAATCTAAAAGTGGAAAAACACGATTTATTAAACAATTCCTTGAAAATATATAATATTTATCCACTTTTAGATTGAAAATATGTGCCCAATGCCAGTTCCCTCATCCAAGTCGACAATCAATAACGTTTTAACATTCATTTCAATTTAACTTTCTAATGGTTCGAGAAAGAACTTGTCAAATTTTCGCCTACATAATATGTTTTTGAGTTTGGATTTGCAATTCTCTTATTTCTCAACAATTTCAACACTAGAATTTCGGCACCTCATTACAATTTTGAGGTGTCAAAATAGATCTATTTATCATCACGATGATGAAATATTGACAATATGACAACTCATTATCTCTCTTATAAAAATTGAATTGTTCAATCACATTATTTCACGTAAACTATCACATCACCGATATTTCATCATCATAATAATAAATAATATTATCGTCAAAATATTATTGTGAGGTCTAGTTGCTAGATTTTGACGTGCTAGTTGCTACACAGACAAAGTCGCGCTTTTTATATAAGTCGTCTTATAACGCTTTTTGGCAACAGTGCTTTTCACCCCAAAGCGATCTGCAGAATTACAGGCGGCCTCCACCACCCTACCTCACTCTCACTGAGTGTGTGGGCTGTGTGTGAAAATGGAGGCAAACTCCTGCTGGGACAGCTGGGTTGAAGAAGCACTCTCAAAACTAGAGTCCCTTAAACTCTTGCGTTCTCTCAGACCCATTTACCTCCCAAACTCACAATTGAACTCCTCAAATTCCTATGAAAATTTCGAATTTTTCAGTGGCCCACACAAGTGGGACAGAAGTTCGGTTGAAGTAATCATTTCAGAAGCAACATTCCAGAAATGGCTCCATGACATCCCCAGTTTAGGTACATTTTTGCGTCATTCGATTCTCTGTTTTTAAATGTTTTTTCCCCCTTGCATTTCATCTAAGGAAAAAAATTCTTTTTGTGTGAATTTATTTTATTTGAGAGAGAGAATTCTTGACGCTTTTCATCCGAATTTACATTTTTAGCATCTTGTTAACACAGGGGAGAGGTGATATTTTAATGTTTCCACATTTGAGACGCAGATTTGAATGTGAAATAGTGGGATAGAGAGAGAAAGATTGAGTCTTTAATTGAATTATCCTTTTCTATTGATTATTCAAGAAAATATATATTTTTTGTTTTTTTAGTATATGTTGCGGAAATTTCTAGAATTCTTGATAAACCGACACCGCCCGGCTCGACCCACACCCTTCCTTCACGAATCACTTTCGTTGCCTCAAGTTTCACCCCCACAAAGGAGACTCTAATGGTGATGGTACTTTCAGGAGTAGGAAGAAGAGGCAACAATGGTGGAAGTCCCTCCCTATTCACCCCCAAGCCGGCTGCCCCCTCTCTCGTTTTTCTCTCCACACTTGTGCAATACACACACCTCTCACGGAACGAGGGTATATAATGGATCAATTAGATCACTTATTTTGGCCCAAATACTTCACTTTAAATTGGCTAACACATTACCATATGGGCTACTTAAAACTAAAGGCAAACCTAATAACAATGGGGCCAAAATTCAAATATCCATCAACAACAAATCCAACTCCAACTTGTGCCATCCAAAGTGTTGGTTGTTTTCGGGTCGAGCCAAGCATATGGTGTCGATAAATTATCTGACATATATTTTAAATTTTCGCCCAGATTTACATATCTGCACATACTTGTGCGCAATGACCAGTGTAGACATTTTATTTGTTTTTTTATTTATTTTTGACCTTAACTTCATAGGGGATGATGGCCTTATATATGTCAACGAACGAGCTGATAATGAAGCAGCAACGAGTGCTGGAAAGTTCTGAAAGTTACTTGTCTTTTCAGGGAATGATTACTTGGGCTTGAGTTCACACCCCACGGTTAGCAATGCTGCAATAAAGGTACCGGACATTAAGTTTGACGAATTTCTTGTTGAAGTTACCATAATATTGGTGGAGAGTATTGGCTAAGTCAGTATTTTTTTCTCTACTAATGCAGGCAGCCAGGGAACATGGAATGGGACCTAGAGGTTCTGCTTTAATATGTGGATACACTAACTACCACAGATTACTAGAGTCTTCCTTGGCAGACTTAAAAAGGAAGGAGGTATCAACACCAACTTTACATTCGGTCGTTAACTGTAGTTTTTATAGTGTAATGAGTGATGAAGAGTTGGAAGGAAGGAGATCTCGTCTCCAACTTTACATTCAGCCATAACTATATTTTCATAGAATAACTAGTGTTGAAATCTTGGATTAATTTATGCTTGTTTCAATATGTTTTGTTGATCATGATATCCACTTTCTCAACTAATGATATATTTCTTTTTCAGATAACTGATTCATAACTTTTCTAATGTTTTAAATATTAGGATTGCCTTCTTTGTCCGACAGGCCTTTCAGCCAACATGGCCTTTATTACAGCAGTAGGAAATGTTGGCTCACTGTTAGCTGGTGGTAAACCTTCAAGGACTGAAAGAATTGCCATATTTTCTGATGCTCTGAACCATGCCTCAATTATTGACGGTATTCGCCTTGCTGAAAAACAAGGAAGCGTAGTGGCCTTCGTATACAAGCACTGTGATATGCACCATCTTGATGCATTACTGTAGGTCCTGCTTTTCTTTTCCTTTGTCATTATTATTCTCCTTATGATAAATTGTTGTGGATGCATACCATTATTGGGCATTTATGTTGTAACAGATCAAAGTGCCCAATGAAGAAAAGGGTTGTTGTAACTGATAGGTTAGTACTACTTCAACAACGTCCAATTGTTATGCATATGTTAGTTCTTTTTCGTTATAAATCTCTTTTTATGCTCCCATAAAGATGGACATATAATACCATCAAAAGTAAAAAATCAGCCAGCGAAGTTCAAGAAGTACTAGTCGTTAAGGTTGTAATACCTCGAGTCTCTGTAGCCACATTTGCTGCATAACTGCTCCATTTTATGTGTTACTACTATGACAAAATTCTGTTCTCAACAGTTGAGAACAATGTATGAGTGATGTTTATCACTGCTATTGCAGTTATTGAAGTGTGTAACATTTCCTTGTTGAATTAATACTTTCCTCAAGAATGGGTTACAGTTGACATTCGTTGCTGATAATCAATATATTTTTCTCTTGGACAAAACTCAGATTCTATCCTGCCTTTGATAATTGATATATTTTTCATGAGGCGCTAACATAGTTTCCTGACCTTTTACATTCTCCTCCCTTTAAAAAGACGGTAAAGGGGGGGAAGGTTTCCTTTATCCAGACACCATAGTTCTTACTAGGTTTGAACTTTTGTTATTTTTATATGATTCCAATTTCTTTCATGTTATCAGCCTTTTTAGCATGGATGGAGACTTTGCACCAATGACTGAGCTTGTTAAGCTCCGTAAGAAGCATAGGTTTAACAACCACTAACTACTACATTCAACTTAAGTGTGTGCTATTTATGAGATTATAAGATGTCTGAGTATTGTATCATAAGTTGGAAATTAACTTCATTTTTAGATGTGAAATCTTCTTTGTTATAATACATATTTTAAAACCAACTTGAATGCAGTGTTCTAATATAGTTCTAACAAGGTGCACAAGAAATACATTCATTTTATTTCATATTGCTCCTTTATTGCTCTTGACATTTTTTTTTGAAGGGTTAGATACATCTTTTATAGAATATCGATTTTTCTTATGTCAATTTCATATTCATTGGTGTATATGTGTTGATTAAACAAGTGTCGTGTAGAGATCACGTAATATTGAGGTCAAGATTAGGAAAGATTTGAGATTATTTATCTTTCCTTGTGTGTAATATTGTAATACTTTAGATTGTAGAATTATTTCTTTCCTTATATTTCTCCTTTCATTATATTATAAGTAGGTGTATTGGATTGTAAATTAATAAGAAGAAATATTCAATTTTCTCTTCATGGTATCAGAGCCGTGAGTTCTTTCCTTAACCTAACAAAGTCATGTCAGAATCCACAACCTCTGACCCTCTCCGCGGCGAGACTGAAAGTGCCTCTGCCGTAGGGACAGGGGAAAATTCTTCGTTTCAACTAACAGTCGAAAAACTGAACGGGAAGAATTTTCGTGAATGGGCTCAGTCGATCAAACTGATAATTGATGGAAAAGGAAAATTGGGTTACCTCACGGCTGAAACGACGAAGCCAGCCTCAACCAACACTGTCTCTCTTCAAAAATGGAGGTCAGAGAACTCCATGGTGACTGCTTGGCTAGTAAACTCGATGAAGCCATCCATTGGGAAGACATATCTGTTCCTACCGACGGCGAAGGATGTGTGGGATGCAGTGAAAGAGACATATTCAGATTCAGAAAACTCGTCCCAGATTTTTGAAATCAAAACCAAACTTTGGCAAACTCGACAAGGTGAACGAGATGTCACGGAGTATTACCTGGAGATGACAACCTTGTGGCAAGAACTTGACTTGAGCTCGGAAGAAGAGTGGGAGTGCGCGGGAGACAGCGCGCGATTCAAGAAAAAGCTCGAAAACGAGCGGGTTTTTGAATTCTTAGCTGGGTTGCAACGAGATCTTGATGATGTTAGGGGCCGGATTCTGGGTAGAAAGCCTTTACCGTCGACGAGGGAAGTTTTTGCAGAGGTAAGACCAGTGTTCTAAAATGCGTAATGCTTTGCGAAGCGTCGAGACCGAGAATCAAGAATCACAAGTTTAGGCATGTCAATGCGAAGAATAAGCGTCATAATGCGTTTCGTATTTTTAAGGCATTAAATATATTTTTATATAAAAAAAATAGATTTTTTAATATATAAAAAAAAACAGATTTAAAAAAAAAAAGAAAAAAAAAAGGGATTAGGTGGGATAATGCTCGCCTAGGCGCGCATTAGGATCGCCTTTTAGTTGGAAAACGCATTTTTCCCGCATTTCTCGAATTCGACACGTTTTGGTCGCGCGTCGCGCCTAAGCGGCGCTTTTTCACTTTTTTAGAACATGGGGTAAGACGCGAAGAAAACCGGCGGAAAATCATGATGGACGCCGGCGGTGGAACGACGGATTCACCTGGGACCGAACGCTCTGCCCTAGCGTCCAAACGGTCTGGATCTTATGATTTTAGGCCTTTAAGGCCTGGGTCTTTTAATAATGGGCCTCTAAATGCTGGGCCTGGACTTAAAAGAGGTGTACACAGCTTAAATGACTTGGGAAAAAATTCTGCAATTGGGCCGGATACTATGGGTCTTTATTCAAGAGGAGCAGCAAATGGGCCCGATCCAAGACAACAAAAAGGACGAACCTGGTGTGAACATTGTCATAAATCGGGACATAAAGAAGACACGTGCTGGGAGTTGCATGGAAAATCGGAAAATTGGAAACAGAGACAAAACAAAAATAGGGGATATCAAGCTTCAGTTGACTATCAAGGAGAACAATCCATGGAGTCCAGTGGCGCCTTCAATCCTGAACAGATGGAACAACTTTACAAATTATTATCCAGCTTCCAACCACCTTGTCAAAACTCTACAAACCATCCATCCAGTTCACTAGCTCATAGAGGTAATTTCTTAAAAGCCCTAACATCCACCACAAAGTCTAGTACACCCTCGATCATTGACCCTGGAGCTTCTGATCACATCACGGGCTCCCATAACCTATTTTCTTCGTACTCTACATGTGCCGGTAATCTCAAAGTTAAAATTGCTGATGGTTCCCTATCGTCTGTAGCCGGAAAAGGGAGTATTAAAATTTCTGACTCTATTACTCTAAAATCAGTTCTTCATGTCCCAAATTTATCGTGCAACTTACTATCTATAAGCCAGTTAACGAAAACTTCAAATTGCTCTGCTAAATTTTTCTCATCTTATTGTGTCTTTCAGGACCTATCATCAGGGAAGACGATTGGCAATGCTGAGGAAAGAGAATGACTATTACTTTGATAAGCCTGACGTAAGTAAACTAGGGCTGTCCGTGGGTCGGTTCGGTTCGGTTCTGAAGATACCCGAACCGACCCAAAACTTTCGGGTATTTAATAAATGGACCCGTCGGGTCCAAATATAATTATGGAACCGTTCGGGTTCGGTTCCGTT